GTAGATGTGGTGTTAACCGACGTTTCGGAGGAACGTATAGCCTCTTTCTTTAGGGCAGAAGGAAAAATAAGAAAATCCGCAAGCAAAGGGACCATGAGAACCGGTACAAGCAATCTGCTTTATAGTTTGTGAAGTCACATTATAAAAAGAGCCTCCTATGCAGTGTAATGAGCCAAAATGATATCACTCAATGTCTGAAATGAACAGACNATAATTTTAAAACAGTGTTGATCAATACACCGATTCTGTATACATTTCTGAATGTAGTGTGAAAATTAGAAGAAAGAAAACTCCAGTTTTTCCCAATTTATTACACTTTAAGTGAAATGTTGCACTCTCCAATTTAAATATCCTCTGGCATAGGAGGTGAGTAAGAATTTAAATGCCCACCAGAGGTGAAGGGTAAATGACACACAAGGTCTGTAAATGAATGAAAAGGAATCGGTTAAAACGCTGGATTTGTGCCTCCATACCTTGAACACAGTATCATATAAGTCTACCACAGAGAATGCTGGGATTTCAGGCACCTGTAGCTTAGGAATAAAAACAGCTATGATAGTGCTGTTTGCAACATTTCACAATGAGCATTATCCGTAGTTCTGCATACATCCCACCTATAGTCCACTAACTGCTGGACACATTTTAACATGTCCTTTGTAACATTTGCAACTGCTGTAGTGACCTGTGCTCTGAGTTCATCCAGTGCATTCACTCGTTGGCTGTATACCCAGTCTTTCATATAGCCCCAATGAAAAAAAATCCAAAGCCATGATATCATGAGAAAGGTGGGGGGGGGGAGGGTGGCACACAGTTGGTCATCCTCTTTCAACCCATCCAATGAGAAATTCACATTCAAACAGTAATGGACAATGTGAGAAAAATGAATGAAGTACACTGTTCAGTTGAATACTTAGAATGTTGGTGCTGCTGTTGAGCTGTAGTGAAGTGCACAATTTTCCAAAGATGTCCAAAAATAAATTGCTTGCAATGATGTCCACATTAAGGGAAAAAAGGCTGCTAACATTTCCGTATGTCACAGGATACCACATGTTCACTTTGGACTATCCCGTTCATGTTCAAAGTGTTCTCTGTGTGGGTCACTGCCCAAAATGACACGGTTATGCCACACGAAATGTCTAGAGACATGAAATTTTGCCTCATCAGAGAAGACATGCATGGCACACAATCAAAGTTCCTGTCTGTTAACTACAGCAGGGATGCATGCACAACTTGTATGAGTTTTAGTTTAAAATTACAATGCGAGTGCTGGCACTGTCATTGCTGTTTTAATTCATGAGTTGCTGTAGGTGTCTGAAATTCTTTTTGGTAGAAACTGTATTCCTGTGTTTAAAAGGCTATCTCAAAATTCCTTTTTTCATTCAAACATAGGGGGCCACCTTATATTGCAAAAGGAGGAAAAACACGAAAGATACATGATTCAGCAATTCCTGGAAATGTGGGCATTCTCAAAACCTGTGCATCCACTAAGCATCATAGGTATAGGAAAATGATTTTTGTTACTGTTATCAACACTTTCTAATGAAATTCATAGTTTGTTTCAAGAGCTGCATTTCTGCTTTTGAGGTACATTTCACAACAAAACATTCATTAAACGAACTCTGTGTCTGAAAACTTTCTTTCTGCTCAAACTAAGAAAAAAAATAATTTGGCATACTCTAGTTCTTACAGTTTTTGCAGATAAACAATTACTTTTATACTTGATGGTAAGTGTTAAAAAGAGTGCCTGTGTTTCACAATATGGTAATATTCACTGAGTGCAGGTTAACCCAGGGAAATACCCTTCAGGGCCTTCCATGAGACAGACATAACTTCATCTGAAGCAATAGCAAAAGCTGCTTGGAGAAACCATGCAGGGTCTGCAACTAGGAAATGCCCAGTGAAAGGCACTGCTGCTTCTGCTGTGGAGCCTTGTGGTGCCCTAATTTTTTTGGGAATCCAGTAGGGATTATTATTATTATTATTATTATGCAGTGGGATGTGTAGATGATACTGCAATCCAAATAATGGAAATTTCATCAGCCTATGTCAGAGGTAATACAAAGAGCTCTGGGAACAGGCAAACAGTGATGTAATAAGACATATCTCTTTATCAACCCTAAGAAAATGGTAGCAATATCTTATACCAGAAAGAGAAATACAAGGGGGCTTGAGGAACCAGATCTCTTCTGCAAGAGAATACAACTGTCAACCAAATAATTTGGAGTAACTTTGCACAGGTGATTTGCTTGGAAGCAGCAGCTGGAAAAGTTTAAAGAATAAAGGCGATAGAGCTTTTTAGACCCGTAGGGGTGCACCTTGGAAAATATGGGGACTGTAAGTAAGGTGCTACACTGGACATACACTCACAGTCACCTATGCTGCCATAGTATGGCAGTCAAACTTAACGAATTTCAGAAGATGGCCTGTATGGGTACAATTTGAGCCATAAGGATGACTCCTACATCTGCAGTTGAGATGCTCCTTGGACACTGTCTGCAACAAAAGTTGGAGGCTAAGGTCTGGGCAGAAATTTAGACTCAGCTGCAATGGAAACGAGAACTTAAGATACAACTGGTACAGGCAAGTTTGCAAGTTCTGAAAAATGAATGAAGAGCCCATCCTGCAGCTGTGGCTTGACAAAATAATACCAAAATATGTAACAAACAATTCATGATCATCGCCGTGAAAACCTCAAAACTTACAATTCATGATCAGATTGTCTGACAGAAGTGAATGGGAAGGCAGGTTTCAGTCTTACAGAATAGGGGGACTACTCTGGTACATGGAGGGACCCAAGACAAATGAAGGTGCTGAGGTGTATGGCACAAGGAGAAAGCTCAGTTACAGCCTTAGGAAATACACCATCCCATTCCAAGCCATTAAGGCATATGCAGTACCTATTGTAAATGGGGCTTATGAGAATAGGGACACTCATATTCTATATAACAGATTGAGATCAAAGCACTTTCTAAACTGATCTCGGACTGCTATCAGTTCATAATGAGCCAGACTGAACTTAACAAGGCGCTCGGTGATAATGGTTGCCAAGATATATAATGATGGGAGTAAAATTTTCAACCAGCTGACAAGATCTGAGTGTGGACATCCATTAAAAGGTTCTGAACCAGCATGAGCATGTGGCATCTCAAAATGCATTCCTGTGAGTCATAATGGACGGGATGAACAGAAACCTGCTCATTAGAAGTGCTCTAGCAAGTATAGGGTGCAGTCAGGGTGCACTTGTGTTACATCCAACTGTCAGTTCATTGCAACTGTGAACATGTCAATTACATTTTCAAATGAAGAAGATGCAGATATGCATTATGTTATTTTCTGCAATGACAACATGAACGTTTCTGTTGAATATCTGTGATGATATCCACATATATTTAGTATTAGAAACTGCATGACAGTGGTTCATTTTTCAGTGTGATGATGTCTGCTGAAGTTCCAGTGTGCAAAGGTGAACGTTGAAGAAAACATTCAAATGGCACAGTGCAGCTCACATGTTAGTACTCAAAGCATTTGCACCTGCCTACCATGTTCATGTTAAGACAGCCTGAAAAATATTACAGTGAAGGACTGTATCCATATCATATACACTGAATTCAACATCTTAAACCTGAAGGGAAGTGTAGGGCGTTGAAATTTTGCCACTGGTTTCATGCCATATTTTATTCACTGATGAGGTGCAGTTTAAACATGACTGAATCACCATTTGTGGGCTCACTGAAATCCACAAACAACAACAGTAAGTAATTTTCAACATTGGATTTCTGTAAATATATGTTATGTATCATTAGTGAACACCTCACTGGATCAACTTCTTACGAGAATATCAAAGCAATGCCTACTATGTTAAATAAATGGCTAGCCACATAAAGAGGATATTTCTCTGTAAACACAATTACAGACATACTTCCAGCATGACAAGCACCCCCACATTCCAGTAGAAAAACGATTTAGCATCTGAATGATCAGTTCCCCGACAGACTGGTTGTGGTGGTCCACAGAATTGATCACCACTGTTACCAAACCTCACTCAGCTGCACTGTCATGTATGGGGTTACATGAAAAATGTTCAGCACAAAGGAAACAAGATGGGAACTATTTCAATGAAATTATGATGCTGCAAGATAAATGGATGAAACTGATGTTCTATACAAGGTTGCATGCTTCATGATCAAATGTGTCACAATGTGTATCCAAATCCAAGGTGGCCATTTTGAACCTTTACTGAATTGTACTGTACATTTACCTTCTTTTATTCTACCTAAGGCTACACATTCCATAGACAAATGAGTCAAGACGGCACACCCAAATTAAAGGTGGCCATTCTGAACACTTTTTTTTCCTTGGCACTACAGCCCCAGTGGGCCTAGGCCTACCTCCATGAACTCCATTCACCTCGGTTTTTCTAGATCTTACACATTCGGTAGGACTCCTTGGGCGAGTGATCACCTTGTCACAAGGCCTCTACCTGTAGTCAAACACAGAAAAATGCACACAAACATCCATGCCCTCAGCAGAATTCGAACCCACGATCCTGGTTTCCAAGCGAGCGAAGACAGTGCATGCCTTAGACAGCTCGGCTACCGTGACCGGCATTCTGAACTCTTACTGAACTGAATTATACATTAATTTTTTTTTAAATAAAGCTTAATTTTATCTTCAAAAATCACCTTGAATTTCAAATATTCATGGTTTTGTAATCATCCAGGATTAGGTTATGTTCAAATGACACATGTGTCTGGAAATGAGCACAGAAATAAGATCCTGAATCATTGACACAAAACACGTAAAAAAAAAAAAAAAAACTCAAACATACCGCTTGTTGAATTTTTTGTTTCCTGATATCTGTACTTGTTGCAGCATGCTTTATCATGTTAGATGTCTGTAGTTCAGTCATTTTCTTGTTTATTACTTGACCCCTTGTCACATGGCACAACTGAAAAATAAATAGTACAATAAATTTCATACGAAATACCTTAATTTTAGCATAAAACTTTGGGAAATACTGTTTACTACTGCCTGTGAAACTACATCTAAAACCTGTACAAATTTTGATTCAAAGGTTATTTCTTTTATCACAGTTTACTTATTTAACCATCACTTCTCCATTACACTGGCTATGTAACACGAAACTGGAAGACAACTGTGAATGAAAGACTTTGGAAGGATGTGGGAAGAAACTGAGCCCTAGACTATTTGAATAAAAACAAGAATGTCAGCCATTCAACCATGATGTTTTCATTGAAAGAAATGGATTCTGAAATGTGTATAACAAACGAATGGCAACAAATTTTTCTGAAAGGAGAAAATATGTCTATTTACAGATGACTGTACAGAGGGCAGCGCCCTGACTTATGACAGATTTAGAATAATCTGTAAAAGTTTATATCAGCTAAATTTTCTGAACATCACCAGATCACATTTTCTGAGTTAAAACTAAGAAATATCACATCACACCGGCTGGTCACCTTGGTCTCAATAACATAAACAATGAGCCAAAACCAGGAAAGGATTTGACTGTTTGATTTTCACCCGTGATATCAGTGGCACATCCAAGCTTCACTTCAGCTGGTGACAAGTATTGTTAGGTTTTTGTAGACTTAAATGTGCAACAATATATGTGCCAATTATTTTGTTTACAGTTTATGACAAAAGTGTTTGAATACAGCATGTCACTTAGTATGCTGAGTACGAGTGGCAGGGGTTGTGTCAGCAGTTACGAGTAGAAACAGTTGCAGAATAGCTTTTAATGTGTATAATTTCTTTAAAAAATGTGTCTGAAGAAAAACAAAGGAGACTAGATTTCTCTAAATGGCAGGATCTGACAGCTAAAATGTGCTGTGTAACACAAGCACGCACGCACACCATGATACCATATGCCCAGCTTTCCCTATAAAACAAGGTAAAGAGGCTACAAATAAAGACATAAATGGTAGATAGTTACTTACCAGCCAAATACTTCTCGCTGTCAATGATTCGGTAACACTGCATATATCATTGTAAGAGATATAATGATGCTTTACTTACTTCTGCCGGAAGATAGATGGGTTTGGGCCTATTCAAGGAGCCAACATGAAGACATGGAAGGCGTGGATACATAAGCCTTATCTTCTTCTCACGGGCAAAGTACTGCTCAACTGATACCATTCTACCATCATCCAATTCAAACCTTTACAGAAGAAAACAGCAAAATGTAATAAATAAGATGAAAAGTTATCATCTAAGTATTTTTTTTATTGCTAGTGGGGTGGGACTAAGTCCCTTGTACTGCGGCCACTTCTGGCCTATTGTACCAGCCCCAGATGATAGGTGAGGGTGATTGTGGAGTAATTGGTGGAATGAAGATTGGCAGGGGAAACCGAAGTACTTGGAGAAATACTGCCCTAGTGCCACTTTGTCCACTACAAATCCCACTTAACCAGACCTAGGATTGAACCCAGGCCACCGCGGTTCGAAGCCAGCAACTAACCGCTTGAGCTATGGTGCAGCCCTATCATCTAAGTACATATAGTTTATTACCTTTTGGTGATTACGTGTTGTTAAAATCCTGGCATGTTTCTGTCTTACAAGACCATCTTCAGGGGGTATAAACATGTTAAAACATGCTTTTTTTTAGTGCTAGTGGGGTGGGACTAAGTCCCTTGTACTGCAGCCACTTCTAGCCTATTGTACCATAAAACACACCTTACAAATCACATACACGAAAAGAAAGGACTAATATATGAGTCATGTATTTCTTATAAATGTTAAAACTAATATCAGCTGTGGCCTATATTAATGAATTTTAACACAATAACAGCTTTAACTTTCATGGTTTTGTGCAACTGCTGTAATGTACAGCAGAGTGTACTGCATTTACCTTTGATTTATGTACCGAGTTTTTGGTTACTACTGTAAACTCATTCTGTAAGTGTGGTACTACATGCTGTTAACATTACTTGGGTGGGTTTACAACTTTTCAAGACAAGAAATTGAGAAGTTAGCAGTTAAACAGGGTGTTCCTGTTAATGACACCTTGGACAACTTTCAAGAGAGTCACAGAGAAGCAGAGTGTGCTGTGACCCACCTGCCTTCTCAGTACAGAGCTAAGATTGAAGTGGTCATAAATACTGTTCTTCCTGTCCAGTGCAACAGGACGCTAAAATATAACACTGTTCTTCCTCTTAGGAGTGCTTTTCAGGCCAGTGATGTTGAGGGTCAAGGTACTTACTCTAACATTAAGATGAGGGTTAAAGTGTTTACTGATACGGCAAAGAATATTTCCATGTAATCGGATATGGAGCTGGACAGCGCACTGAAGAGTTCTCATTAGGGCAAAAAAGGTCTGCGACATCAAGCTGGTAACAGATGTGTAATTTCTAGGTCTCCTGCTCACCAGGGTAATTTGGGGGATTATTCAGATTTTAGGTGCCCGTTTAGCAAGTTCTTTGAGTGGAAGTTTGTTTTCTATGAAATGCTGTCCGTTTTCCTTCCATCATCAATCCTTTACCGAACAGTTGTCTCGATCTGTCACCGTGACTGTAGTTGCTGCTGATATATTTGGGTGTGAAGGGCCAGAGTCAGTCTTAACACTTTGCGGATTGCGCACCCTTTAAAAGGTTTTTCGCTCCTGTTAAGGGTCACTGACTGTAATCCTCAGGTTATGGTAACCATTAGGAATTACTGTTTGCCAGCAGATTTAGTTCCTAGGTTTACTGTCTCATGCATACATGGAAGATCAAAGTCTGTCACATTGCTAGTGGCCAGAGCTGTGTGATGAAGGTGGTCATCTAGCCACGGAATAAGCTTCACCCTTTTCCAGAAGTATAAATTTCTAGTATTTCATAATTAT